CAGCCTTCCAAGTAGCTGGAACTACAGGTGTGCGCTACCACACCCGGCTAATTTTTGATTAATTGTAGAGATGAGGTCTCGCCAAGTTGCCCAGGTGGGTCTCGAACCCGCGGGCTCAGGCAATTCACTCACCACAGCCTCCCAAAGGCACAGGATTACAGGCTAAGCTACCGAGCCCGGCTGTTTTTGTGCCTTTTAAGATAAATTCCTGCCAAGTGGATTTCACAGTTAAAACAATTTTGTGTAGATTTAGAGGGGTCTGAGTGCAATTTTGTTACATGGGTATATTGCGTCGTGGTGAAGTCTGGGCTTTCAGTGCAGCCCTGAATAGTGTACACTGTGCCCTGCACATTTTTTTAGTAAATTTTTTCTTGCCATATAACATACACTTAGAAAAGTGCATCATTCACAAGCTCCTTGAAGTTTCTGAGAACACAGTGTGTAACCTGTATCTGGATCTAGAAATAGCACATTCCAAGCATCTAGAAGCCCCCTCATGCCCTGTTCAAATTAATATTCCCTCCTTGGAGGCAGCCACTCTCCTCACGTCTAACATTATAGATGAGCTTTGCTTGTTTTTTTACGTTTTATGCTTCTTTTCCTTATCGTTACACAAATGGTCCATTTCTGTTCCTGTATGCTATTCCATTGTTTGACTATACCACACTTTAACACTTTTCTTCATGGTGCCATTGCTGGGCATGTGGTTAGTTTTCAGTTTAGGGCAGTATGGATAGCACTGCCATGAATATCTTTGCAAACATGCTTTGGTGAGTAGAAGTATGCATTTTTGGGTACCTACCTAAGAGTGAAATTGCTGGACCATGAAGTGTGCTGATGGCCTTGCTGACACACTTGTGAAATAAATGGCTGTATTTTCCTCCAGAAAGATGGAAATTGTCCCCTGGCAGCTACCTAACCCTTCTGAGTGTCAGTGTCTACATCTGTAACTTGAGGATACAGGCCCCTCCCTGAATGTCATGAGGAAGAGATGTGCTAACCGGTGGAGACATGCCCATGGCATGCAGCAAACCCTCAGTCTGGCTTGGCATTCCCTCATGAGCTGCCAGGGATGCTTGAGAATTTGAGCAGAATTGAAGAGATCACAGCTGGAGCCTGAGACCCAAAGACAATGAGCAGGGAATAAGGTGACCAGTTGGTCCCGGAAACTAGCTGTCTCTGTAACAAGAGGAAAAAGGTGCTTAGGGAATTGGGTATACTTGGAGGACTGCAGCGGGGGATGATAGCTCCCCAGCCCAGTCACTGTTTAGGAAAGGATTGCCTTAGACATGTGTGTGTGTGTGTGTGTGTGTGTGTGTGTGTGTGTGTGTGTGTGTATACATCTTGATAGATATGTGTGTGATCTTAATATATCTATGTGTGTGATCATATATGATCTTAAGTGCTCTCAGAGCTGCAGTTTTCAAATCACAAAACTGAGGTAATAATATCCACTCACTTATTGGGTTGTTTTGAGGATGAAGTGAGAAACACATCTAAGTACTTAATACTGTGCATTTCATGGAGATATCAGGGTTACTGGTGAGAGGTCCCCTTGTGGGTGTAAACCTGATAAAGATTGGCACCCAGAAGGTCCAGTCTTGGAAGAGGCTCCATGGAAGAAACATGGCCCAAGAGTGGAAATAATATTAATAGCAAGCTAACCTCCCTCACTTAGGTGTTTGAAACCTGTTGGGGGATCCATATTCATCATCTACAGCAACAGTGGTCAAAACTCTGTCTAGTTCTGCCTTCTGTTTCTTTTCCCCACCAGATTCTCCAGACATTTTTCACTGTAGATATCCCAAATCACTTCTAACACCAGCCTGAACCTCTGTTTCCCCTTCTTGCTCATCTGTCTCTTTTTTTTTTTTTTGAGTTGGAGTTTCACTCTGTCGCGGCAGCCTCGACCTGCTGGGCTCCAGTGATCCTTCCACCTCAGCCTTCTGAGTAGCCAGAATTACAGGCGTGCACTACCATGCCCGGCTCATTTTTTGATTTATTGTAGAGATGAGGTCTCGCTGCCCAGGCGGGTCTCGAACCCGCGGGCTCAGGCAATCCACTCACCTCAGCCTCCCAAAGGTGCGGGATTACAGGCTGAGCCACTGAGCCCGGCTCATCTGTCTCTTAATCTGTGCCCATTCAAGACCCCTTTCCCAGCTAGGAAAAAGCCCATCTTTAGGAGAGGGAGGGGGAATGTCAGAGAGACAGACACAAGTTTCTCTTTGGGGGCCACGGAAGGAGGGAAACTGGAGGCCTGTTCACAACTGCCCCCTCCCAGGCAGTAGTAGTAGTTGTTGTTTTATTGCTAAGGGAACTGGAACGAATAATCCCAAAACTGCATTACTGGGGAGAATGGGAAATCCCTGCTTTGCTTCTTCATCTGGCGCTCGATTTTGTCATGGGGGGGGAGGTGCTGTGATGCTGGGGGGGGCTGTGCCTGGTGGGGGCGGGGCAGAGGATGTCTGCTGCTTCTCACTGCCCCAAGTTGCACAGTCAGTGATGTTTTCTTCTCTCTCTGTCTCACCTGTCTTTCCTTCTCAGTCTCATCAGATCAGATTGAGCAGCTCCACCGGAGGTTTAAGCAGCTGAGTGGAGACCAGCCCACCATTCGGTAAGACCTTCAGTTGGGCTTGGGTTCATGGCCCTGGGGACTTCTCTTTCTGTTTCTTTCCCTGAGTGCCCCATTTCCTGAAGTAAATCTATAGTTGTTTTAATGCTTCTGATCTCATCTAAGACAAGATGTTTCCCAGTAGGAGGGAAAGAGCCTCTTCTGTTTCCATCGGGATCAGAAAATTATCAATTATAACTAGAGTTGAGGACTCAGGGAGGGGAGAAGAGCTCTTCAGCCACCCGGCCTCACCCTGACTTTCTCAGATGGAATGTACTCCCAGACTCGTGCTTAGAATCCCAGACACTCCGTGAGGACTTGTTAAATACCAGGATCCTGCCAAATGCTGGCCACACAAAGATGAATCAGTCCCAGTGCCGCCTGAGCTGGGGCCAAGGGTTGTCATCAGGACCTGTCTTGACTTTGCTTCCTCAGCCTCAGTTCCAGCCTCCATAAAGATGGGGGCAGCCGCCTCAAATTTCTACATTGCATTAATCTTTAGGTGCCATCTAGGTCGCTTTTTATGAGGAGGAATGCCTTGAACTGTGATCTTAGATGGTGGTTGGATATTTTGATGTAGCTTTTGAGATGGGGTCTTGCTATGTTGCTCAGGCTAGTCTCAAACTCCTGGTCTCAAGTCAGCCTCCCGCCTTGGCCTCCCAAATAGCTAGGATTACGGGTGAGTGCCAGTTGAATTATTTAGAACTAGGTTAGTGAGAGGTCCTTGATCACCACAAAACTTCAAAGGTGAGGGAGCTTCAAACTGAACCAAAGTAAGCAGAGTTTACAAATTCAAGCGAACAGATTTCTACCACAAATCTAGCAGATGTCATTTCCTAAAATAAACATTCAAGGTCTCAGTGTTACGTTGTTGGAACCTTAAAACAACCCTTTTAATAGTCCAGGAATACTTTCTTCCTCTTAATAAACATCTAAATGTACCTACCTTTTAGGGAAATGGAAATAGCTGCTTTCTCTTGTCTTACTACACAAAGGCATATTGTTAATCCAGTGCATTGTAGTCTCAAAGTATCCTTTTCAAGAACTCAGATTCTGATGGTCTCATGGTTCTGGTAGCCTCTGATCTCAATTTCAATTGTATCCAAGGCAGACTTGAGACAATTAGGACTTACACCTTTAATTCTCCATGTCTTGTTCACTGAGCCCAGTGGCCAAGAGGCTGAGCCCAGGGGAAATTCACATTGGCTTCTCATTGGCTCCAATAGGGTCACGTGCCTGAATCTGAGCCAATCGTGGTGGCTAGGGCTGGAAACAAATTTTTTTTCCACCTAGAGCAGTGGGGCCCTGGGTCAGAGTCAACCGAGAGCAGTGATGGAGGGCAGTGGTTTCCTCAGGGCACAGGGGAGCCTCCCAGGGCCATAGGCTGAGAAGTGTGTGCAACGTGGGAACAGCCAGGCGCCACGGTCTGACAGGATTTGCTGCATGTGCACGCTGGATGCTGGAGAGTGGAGTGTCCAAGGCCTGCTTCTGAAGTTCATGGGTACGTTGGGACCTACGCTGGCAGGTGCAGCCTCCATGCAACTCCCCGTGGAAATTGTGTGGGGCAGAGCTCCCTTTCTCCTCTCGACAGTTTTCCAGCGAGCTAAGCTCCCAGCCCTGTAACAAGCTGCCTTGGACTTCCCATTGTTACAGGTCAGGTGAAAGGCTGGAGTTTCCAGTTCCACAAACGTAGAGATACAGAGGCAAAAACCTAGACTTGGGAGACACGTGACATTAGAATCCTCCATGCCACTGACGGTGACTTTGGGCTGGTCACTTTATTTCTCTGAGCTTGGCTCCTCACCCGTAAAGTGAACGTGGTCACCTGGGACCTGATTGGAGTAGCGAAAACAAGCAGATGTGTGCAGGACGATTGCGTTCTGTCTGAGCCGTGTTTGTGGGAATTTGGTCAATGGCACCGTCGTCATTCTGCCTCAGCCTGAGATGGCCAAGCTGAGGTTTTCTAATCCTGGGGGCTGGGGGGGAGGGACAGGTGTGTGGGGGGAGAAGAAGGCGATGCCTGTGAAGGCCCCTCCCACTTTTAGGTTCTAGCCTCTGAGTCCCGACTGTGTTGCCCGGCGCCTCATCACAGGCCTGTAGCAGGGACTTACGAAACTGGCGTGCCTCCAGCAGTCCTTTTCCAACTTGAGCGTGTGCACGGGCCATCTGGGAATCTTGCAATGCAGATTTGTTTCCACAGGTCGGGTGGGCCCGGAACTGCGTTTCTAACAAGCGCAGCAATCGCTCAGCACCATGGACAGCACACAGTAGGCCCTCAGGGTGGGTGGGTGGAGGCTCCGCCCGCTGCAGGCACTGAGCATGCGCGGCAGATCTGTGCGGGTGGCGCGGGGCTCTTTACCTCCAATGCCTCACTTGCTGCGTGCGGCCTGCACATGTGAGCCTGGCCTGACTTCCCACCCCGGGGCCCTCTTCTATTCCGTTTGCCCCTCTCCCAATACCTCCACCCCGGGACCACCATACATTGCCTTAGCCACCTCTGCCCTCACACAAGCCCTAAGTGTGCGTGTCTGCCTAGCAGGTTGGTTCAGAGGCCTCCTTGAGCAGCCCGTGCTCAACAGCCCTCAGTGGCTCCCCAGTACCATCAAGGTCGTCGTCATGCTCTTTATCTGGGGCTCACCAAGGTCTGCAGATGCTGGCCTCTGCTGTGTTGTGGACCACCTCCTTCAAGACTCTTCTCCTGCCCCCTGAACCCCCACAGCCTCCTCCTGGGGGGGTCCCCTCCCAACATTGACAGCAAGAATTGTTATCGCCTCCCATCCCCCTGCTCCCCAGATTGTAGCTCCTTGAGGCACAGGAACGGATCTGCCTTTTTATCATGGCCAAGTTGCTGAGTCTGGGGTTTGTAAGCAGTAGATGCCCTGAGGGTAGTTGAATGAATGAGTGAGTGAGTGAATAAATGAATGAATAAGAGAGCAAAGGACTGAGGAGTGAGAATAATGACTAAAAAGTTCTTTATAACCCATAAAGCTTGGCCTGTGTGAGACCGGTTGTTACCTGTTCCAGGTGAGAGAACTGCAAACTGCGAATGGAGAAGCTGCCTCCAGTGATGTTATATACTGCCTGCAGAAGCTTGTGGCTTCCCTCTCCAAACCCCAGAGGAAGTAGTGGGCAGAACATCTGCTCCTCCCCGTTTTGTAGATGGGTAACTGAGGCTAGAAAGGCCGTGTACTTGGCCACGGATCACGTAGCTCCTAAGTGGAGGAGCTGGGGTTTGAACTGGGATCCCGCCTTAAGGGAACCGTGGGCATTGCCTGGACTTGCGCGTGGTCTCTGAGGACCTACCTCTGGTCCCAGAGCCTCAGAGTCGGCTTCACAGTTAGTGTCAGCTACACAAGGTGACAGCCCCAGCCCAGCCTGCAGGAAGGAAGGAGGTGATGCAAACAGGCCCGCAGGAAGGGCCTCCTCCCTGCCTCCAGGAACTGCTTTGCCTAATCCCAGTCGGCCCTCCGGGGCCTAGAGAGGGAGGTTCCAGGGCTTCTCTGGCCTCTCCTGCCTGTCTTCCCCTGAGCAGCCCTGGGTTGGTTGGAATCTGGTCCTGTTCGTTCCGTCAGGGCTTTCCTGAGTGATCCCAGCCCGGGCCTTCAGGCTCTCTGATCCCTGGGCACATTTGGCTGCTGCCCAGCAGGCCTTGGGCTGGGCTGGGGTTTCTGAGCACAGAAGAGGTTATTTTCTTTTGTGGCTTCTTTCTTCCATTCTTCTGTTCAACCTCATGAGAAAGGCATTGACTGGGGCTTCCTGGCCGAGGCCCCGCTCCAATCTGGGCCAGGTGTGGAACCAGCCAGGGCAACACAGCGGCTCCCTGTGCCTCCTCCCTCTCAGAGAGTGGAGGTGCCCACGAGCTTATCAAGATACCACAAGGAGGCTTTTGAATATCTTGAGTGCCAAAACCCCCTTAAATGATCATTCAAAACCACAGGCTTTGTATATAGACAAAGCAGATTTGTAAATTGCATTTCAAAGCTAAAGAATTGGGCTTCTAAATTTGCAATTTAACAAATTGAATATAGCTTTAACTCCCTCCCCACCAAGCGCCAGGTGCAGCGGCTCACACCTGTCATCCCAGCACTTTGGGAGGCAGAGGCAGAAGGATTACTTGTGCCCAGGAATTTGAGACCAGCCTGAAGTGAGACCTTGTATCTACAAAAAAATCTTTAAAAAGTAGCCAGGTGAGCCAGGCTCAGTGGCTCAGCCTGTAATCCCACGCTTTGGGAGGCTGAGGTGAATGGATTGCCTGAACCCGTGGGTTCAAGACCCACCTAGGCAACTTGGCGAGACCTCATCTCTACAATAAATCAAAAAATCAGCCAGGCATGGTAGCAGGTGCCTGTAATTCCGGCTACTCGGGAGGCTGAGGCAGAAGGATCGCCCGAGCCCGGCAGGTTGAGGCTGCAGTGGGAGCAGCCACTGCACTCCAATCTGGGCGACACAGTGAGAGTCCGACTAAAAAAAAAAAAAAAAAAAATTGCCAGGGGGGGCGGCATGTACCTGTAGTCCCAGCTACTTGGGAGACTGAGGCAGAAGGATTGCCTGAGACCAGGAGGTCAAAACTGCAGTGAGTCATGATTGTACCACTGCACTCCAGCCTGGGTGACAGAGTGAGAGTCCGACTAAAAAAAAAAAAAAAAAAAATTGCCAGGGGGGGCGGCATGTACCTGTAGTCCCAGCTACTTGGGAGACTGAGGCAGAAGGATTGCCTGAGACCAGGAGGTCAAAACTGCAGTGAGTCATGATTGTACCACTGCACTCCAGCCTGGGTGACAGAGTGAGAGTCCGACTAAAAAAAAAAAAAAAAAAAATTGCCAGGGGGGGCGGCATGTACCTGTAGTCCCAGCTACTTGGGAGACTGAGGCAGAAGGATTGCCTGAGACCAGGAGGTCAAAACTGCAGTGAGTCATGATTGTACCACTGCACTCCAGCCTGGGTGACAGAGTGAGAGTCCGACTAAAAAAAAAAAAAAAAAAAATTGCCAGGGGGGGCGGCAT